CTTGTTGGTGATGAGATACTTCATGAACTTCGCGTACTTGGGCATCTTCGACACTGCCTCAATGAAAGGCATACTGATGTTCACCTGCTTCAGCGTTGTTATGAATTTGGAAAACTCAGTCTCAAGTTGGTCTTTGTGAAACCGAGTAGGGAAAGGGAGTTGAGGAACATACTCATTCACCACTGGTTGTGGCTTAGGAGCAGGCACCTCTCTCCTTATCCCTTTATTCCTCATCGTCTGGAAGTGCTGAAACATGTATTTCTTCCTCCTGTCTGGCTTAGAGGATTTCTATAGTTACCTTCCCGATTCTGGGGGTAATGGCATTCAAGTGGGCGTCTAGGTCACTGGGATTAAGTATGATATGACCAGGTAATGTACCCCGAGCCCACTGCGCCATAGCTTTATGGACATTTCCCAGCTGGAGCTGGATGTCCTACAGAACAGCTTCTGTGCTGTGTTGACTAGCTTCAAGGGCCTTCTTACCAGCTTCAAGATCCAGGAATGGACCGGAGGCCTTCTCCATGAACCGCTCCATGTTGCTGAATATCTGGGCGTTGGACTTGGCAAGGGAACCCACAATGTCGCGCAGCTCGGACATCAAATCTCATGGTACTAGTGATGTTGGGCTGCGCCCGGCTGCTCCTGAGGGAGAGACTGCCTATGTCTGGACGAATAAAGAGGTTACTGCGGCTAGTGGACCTGGAATTAGCCTTGGCGAGCCTGGTACGACGGTCTCTAGAATCCTCGGGTTCCCTGTAAACCAGGTGGCTAAGAATTACTGCAATCACTCCAAAAGAAGTTAGGATGCTGGCGCCACCCCTCATTGCATGACAGTCTTCCACTGTGTGGTGACTGCTCTCGCACCAATGGCAGTAGATCGCCTGCTGATGTCCTGTATCGGTAACCATCCAATTTCTATCAAGTGTCGTGACCAACTTATTGACCACACTCAATAGATCGGACGACGTGGTATCCATGGCATGCACACCCCCGGCTCGGTGCTCATCGCGATCTTTGTGAAGAACCCCAATCATAACCCTGCTCAGCCATGTCTTCAAAGAGCTAGTTCAAATGTGGTGGCGTCTTAGTCTACATGTTCCCGCCACAAACCGAATCGATTAGCTGCTTATCCTCAGGAAAGAGAGACCGATAGAAGGTACCCACTTTGAAGGCATCAATGAAACCAAGGTTGGGACACTTCAGGAAGAGACCTGTGTATCTCTCTCAAGTGTCCCAGATAGTCTCTTCCTCCTCTTTGGCAATATGGTAATCTCCTTTTGCGGGTCCGCTATTTTAGAAGGAGGATGATAGCGGATCAGGAATTTGTTGGCCAAGTCAGTGAATGTGGTGATTGACCCCGGAGGCCGGTTGTCCATCCACAGCTTGGGCTACCCCTCCAAAGTAAATGGGAAGTAGCTAGATGGCAATGGGGTGGGTTTGTCTAAACCATTAAGAAATGGAAAGTCCATTATGAATCGCTCGAAGCTCCGCTAGCAGGATTGAGCCCCCTCCAAGATAATTCAAGAAACTAACTATAAACCGTCTGCCACAATTCTTCAAAACACCTCCAATAGCTAATGATAGAGGATCTCCTACCCGACTGCCGTCCACTTTCACTTTGATCTTTTCTTCTTTTGGTGGCTTCCATTTGATTAATCGGGATTGGACTTGGGTTGGTGCATTGTTGCTACCAAGAGCTGAACTCCACTGCCGCAACCCAAAACAAATCAATACTAGTATAGACGAACCAATACATGTTTAACGCGAACCAATACCAATACAAAAAATCTAGACTAGTTCATAACCATTTCACAAAACCATTACCACAACAAAAAAAAACAGTACCATTACACGAAAAAAACGACCACTATGAAAAATCTATACAAATACCAGAATAAAACCAATACCACATTAAAAATCAACAAATACCAAAAAAACTACCCGAACAAAATCAATACCATAATAAACACAATATCAATATCAAAGTAGACAGCCACAAGAGTAGGGAAACTCGTGTGGGTGGATGCGTGAGGAAGGGGGAGCGAGCGGCAGAGGTCGATAGGAAGGGGGACGAGTGACGGTGAGTAGGGGAGACGTCAGGCAGGCCACAGGTGAAGAGGTATTTCCACCGGAATTTCTCCTACTGTTTGTTGGATCGTTCACCATCACCCAAAATGTCGTTTATGGTGTTCGACAACAAGGTAGTATAATGGGCCGGTTGCTGCCATATTTGGTTTTTAGGCGGAGAGAGAAAGAGAGAGATATGTGGGAGAGAGAGGTGATGTGAGAGTTGTTTGTTATGGTTTTGGGAAAAGAGAGAGCGAAATGTATAGTCATATATGGAAAGAGTATCAATTAGGAGCATTAAGTTTTTGTTTCCAAATTATTGTAAAGCAATATTGATAGTGAGATTAAAAAATATGGAAAAATAGAAAAATAATTGGTGTATAGAGCAGGTGTCATCAGAATAGGTTACGATGACAGCCTACTTTGAAATCATTCATTTTATTCCCCCCCCCCCCTTTTAAACTGAAGATCACGATTGCTCCGGAGGTAATTTTGAAAACAAAAAACTTATCATAAATTATTGCTACACTTATGACTTTCTCTCTCCTAAAACTTAAAGATTGACTTTCCCTTCCTCTCTCTCTCTCTCTAGACACCTCTCCCCCTCCCCCATTCTCTTTCCCTAGCCGACTCTCCTAAAGATTCACTCAGGAAAGATGTTGTCGTTGTTGTACACCATGGACACATCCACGTTGTCCAACGAGATGGAGGATCCCCGATTGTTATGAAAGACAAAGAAATAGGAAGTGTGGGAGGCCTCGAAAACGTGGAGTTCAAAGATGTAGAGGGATTGGAGGTAGAGCTCTCATGGAAAGAACCAACTGAATCCAAAGGAGTTGAACGCTTAATGATGGAGGCCAAGAGGATGGAGCATAGGTAGTTGGCTACATTAGGTGAAACTACCCTATACAACAATATTTTACCATGTCTTTACTCAATCTACTTTACTGCTCTTTACTTGCTACATTTTAATTAGTAAAAAAATAACAGAAGGGGCACCTCAAATCCACCTGGAAACCTCAAAAACCACAAGGAAATCTAAAGCTGGGACATTTCTAGAAGCCCTGCGGAATACAACCTAGATATAACTAGGTGATAATGGCATAATTACACATGTTTTATCCTCTTTTTTCATTGTTTGGCTTGGTAATCATCTTTCTAGGCCCATTTCATGCCAGGTAGTGAACATTTTGCCCTATTTAAGGTCCTGTGGAGGGAGCTTAGGAACAATTTTGGTTCATTTAGAGGCCAAACATGCCAAAAAGTGAAAGTACACCCCTCAAGGGCTGAGACCCCAAGTCACTGGCATGGGGGTGACTTGAGGCTCCAGGGGGTGACTCGAAAACAGGGAAACATAAGCATTTTCACAAGTCACAAGTTGGCCTTCCAAGTCAAGGCCATGACTGTGACTTGACCTTTTTGGTCGTTACTTGAGCCTCGAAAGTTGTATGAAACGTCATCGAATTGGTAGGTCACTGCCTAAAAGTCACGTCTGTGACTCTGGCCGTGACTGGTGGCCTGTTTTTAGGTTTAAAGGTTGTTTTGCGATTCCTGGAGGGGCGAGCTGGATTTTGGATCCCAAACACCAAAGGGACAAACCTAGAGTGACAGGGCGATTTGAGGGCAACTTGGAGTGGAAATGGAGGAATTTTTTGCCTTGGAAGCTCGAGGAATAAGCGTAGACATGAATATTGAAGATCTGGAAAATTATACTTTATTCTCTCTCTCTTCTCTATGGAGCAACTTCCCATCAATTAAATTTAGAACAACCCTAGTTCCATGTTTTAGGATCTTTCTTGTATGAATCTTTGGATGTTATACTTATTGGTTTTGTTCAATTTAGGCATGATTATTTGAGTCAATTGAGTCTTGATCACATTCTTTTGATTTATGCTTTAACCTAGGAGAGATAGAATCTGATTGGGTAAAGAGAGCTTCTTCAATTAAAGTAGTGAATTAATTGTGCGAGAGTCAATCAATTCATTAATCTGTATTGGGATTCATTCCAGTATAGGAGATCTTTTTTTTATTGTATTATTATTTTATTCTACTGGAGGTAAGTCACTCGATGGGTACTTTGTCGAAGTGGGCTTGGTGTTCTTTAGTCGAGAGTCTAAGCTACTATCAAATCTTTCGCAGTTTAATCATCATTGAAAAAACTAAACGGAATTAAAACTTGGATCTAATTGAGGAGCTAGGGAGAATCATACCTAAGTGAGTTCTCAACATGTAATCAGTAGTCTAACCTAATTTAGCTTGTAGAGTAGTTTAGTTAATCAAACCTCAATTTGATTTGCAAGATAATGAACTGAAGCTGAGTAATAGTAACTCTAGAGACTCATGGATTAGATGTTTATTACTTGTGCCACTATACTACAGACCTTTTCATAGGTTACAATTGGGCATTGTTAGGATTTGAGTTTTCGTAAGTCAATTTTTTAGTGTCGTTGTCGGGGGATTTCTTGATGATTAGGAAAAGCAAGAGTTTATTAATTTAGATTTTGTTTCTTTTGTTTTTCTTTTCAACCCTTGATTTTAACTTGAGTGTTTTTGTTTTTGATTGAATCATCAATCCATATGGCATTTACGACCAGTGGGATATCAACCAACAACAGTTGGTATTACTCCAAGATTTCATGGGATAAACAGTACGGAGAAGGCTGCGGATTCGGGTTCCAGGAAGAACCACCACCCTTCTACATTGCACAACTAGACCCTTTGGCATTTCAAGAACCACCTCCTTATTAAGAAAATTTCCTTTATAACATGAGGGGCCATCTGAGCCGAAGTAAGTCATGATGGCCTTCATAGGCCATTCAGTAGAGCCATGCTCCATTCCAATTTAGAACGGAAGAGCTTGTTTGAGCTTGCAATTGAGAAGTTTCCTGGATTCCGAAAACCATTCTAAAAAATGGACCTTCAGATCCGAGCCCTTGCCCTTCCTAACTCCTCCTACCTCCAGGGAATCGAGAGGATCCTCCAGTGCATGAAGAAGAACATAGAGGTCATTGGGTAAACATGTGCACCACTTTCTCAAAATTGTCTTTTTGCTACCATACAAAAGGAGAGGAGGAGGAGGAGGAGGAGGAAGCAGTATATCACGAGGACATTGTGGAGCAGACAAAAGTTATCACAGAGAACTCTCGTGATGATAATTATCAGGAATGTCCTGTTGGGGCAGACCTAAGCTTTCTCGATTCCCACTCTGAAAAGATGGGAATGGATGTAGAGATGCAAGCTAATCTTATCGGGAACCTTGCATGGAGACTTGATCTCCAATCCTTGCTTGAGGATGAGGAATTTTGGGTGATAAGAGAAGTTGTGGAGGAGGAAGAAAGAAATGAAGAGCAAGTTCTTGATCTTTCACAAGGGGAGAAACCAAATTCTGAAGAAGGAAGGATGGTTGAAGAAGCAACTGAGTTCCAATAAATAGATGAGGCCGAGGTGGTTAAGGCTTCTATAAGCCCAGCGTCATTCCAATAAAGAAGAACCCATTTGCAGTGTCTCTTTGTGAGAAGAATGCCACACCTATATTAATCCCTCTTGGTGGATGCGATGGTGGTGAATTGATGTTGTCTTACATGGTTTAGGGCAATGAGAGAAGAAGGAGAGGTCCCGAGGGTGGAGACTTTATCTAACTCGAGTACACAAGCCTATTAACTTGTTGAACCCCATGCTCATGACTTGAGACTCCACCTCCTTGAGGAGAACCTCAAATTCAAGGTGAATCTAGGGTGGACCAAAACTTAGGAGCCACTGTCCAGCAAACGACATGAAAGAAGCGCATGTTGGCAGGCAACCTAGCCAGTCGGTTTGCACTTTCTTTCCCATTGCTCTTTGGTTGAGTCAGTATTCTGATTTTCGTGTCAATAACTCAACCTTTGTGAGTTTTTTTGTGTGGTGCTTTTGGTTCCACCGATTCTCTAACCATGGGACGCACCTCTTATCCCATCCTCCATCGTTCACCACCTTATCCGATAACTTCGTTCTACCCTCCTTATTTTCATCTATTAAGGAAAATGTTGTGCTTAAGTGTGTGTGCGTGTGGGGGGGGGGGGTCTATTGTTTTTGGGTGTGATGAATGATTTAGTTTTGGATCCTAGTCGACTGTCCAAATCTTAAGATTTGAGGGATCCAAGTAAAAATTTGCATGATCATATTGGCACCTGTAGTTTTGTGCGAATCTTATGGCGACCAGTATCAATGCATAAGTAACTTGTTTGTGACTAATATCACCACAATGATGACTAAGATATGCAATAGGTCTGTGTAGTGTAGGGGTTCAGTTTTCCCTTTTCTTAAAACCAATTTGTGACATGGATTGAGTACTCACCACTTACAATTTCTTATGCATCTAGTTCAAGGAATCAGAATGAGAGATAAAGCATATAGGTAGCCACGTCAGATTTGAGCCTGCCCGTTTCTTTTTATGTGATTAGTTGACTTTTACCATGATATGTAGCATTCACGTTGCCACTAATGAGGAAGATAGAGGAATAAGATTACCCCAAGCCCCAAAAAGATTGATTGCCCTGATCATAATATTCCTTAGTTAACTCCCTTGAGCTACGAGTCCTTTCTTTGTATATGTTAGAGTCTTCTTTGTGTTTCTTCAAGGTTTTAGAGAGTTGATTTTTGCATGGTTTGTACTGAATTTTGAAGTGAGTGATGGAGAAAGTGCCTAAGAATGAGCAATGTGTTCTTAAGGTTTTGAAAATGTGGCAAGTTTGTAGCTCTCATAAAAATTGAAAAAAAAGAGAATAATAAGAAAAAGAGTCGCCACAAAAGTAATTATGGTGCTAAAAAATTTACTTCCTACACTCTTGTATTTAAAAAGTGATAAAAACATCATTAGCAGAGAAGGACTGGTTGTTTTGACTGGTTGATTGATGTGGTTTTGGTTTGATACTGTGGAACTTGTGCTTGAATTGTTGCCACCACCTGGAAATCTTGTTTCCCATGCCCTATACCCTTGCCAGTTCATTTTGAGCCAGTCAAGCTCTCTTGATGAGTTAGTGGTGACAGTCACTGTGTGAACTCTAACCCTTAGAGGTATCATGGTGAAGAGATATTAGGATTGAGAGAATGAGCATGCACATCTTTTGCAACAAATTGTCCTGACCCCACTAGTCGAAAGTGAGTGATTCATATTCACATAATATTTATCCCGGTGAGGACCTAGATTTCTCGGTCTCTAGTTCTGGTGACTTGAACTTTATGCATGGTTAACTTTGGTGTGCGAGTGTTTGGGTCATGTCATGTTTTGTTCTGGGAATAGAGGGAAGATTCTTTCTCTCATGATTTTGTTGCAGTTGAGTGTCATCTGCGAGGTTTGTCAAGGTTGTTGTTGTTTGTGTGTTTGTTCCAAATGACTGATGAGATTATTATGTTGTGTGCTTATATGATAAGTCCCCAAAATTTTCATGAAATATAGGTTAAGCTGACCTTGTGTCTTACTTGGTTTGCTTGAGGACAAACAAATGGTTAAGTGTGGCGGAGTTTGATAATGACCTAATTACATGTTTTATCCTCATTTCTTGACTTGGTAAGCGTCTTTCCTAGGCACATTGCAAGCTAGGTAGTGTTCATTTTCACCTATTTCAGGTCCTAGCACGTGGAGGGAGCTTACGAGCAAGTTCTGGGTCAATTCAAGGTTAAAACATGATGAAAAGTGGACGCAGACCTCATACCCCGGGAAAAGACCCCCAAGTCACGGGCATGGGGGTGAATTGTCAGAATTGAGGCTCTAGGGGTAGCTCAAAGATGGGGAAACATAATCATTTTCACAAGTCACGAGATGACCTTCAAAGTTATGACCATGACAGTAACTTGACCTTTTGGGCTGTAACTTGACCCTCGAGAGTTGAATGACACATCATTGATTTGGCATGTCACGGCCTAAGTTACGTCAGTGACTCTGGCCGTGACTTGTGGCATGTTTTTGGGTTTAAAGGTTGTTTTGCGATTTCTGGAGGGGGGGAGCTGGTTTTGGATCTCAAACACCCAAGGGACAAACCCTAGAGTAATAGAGCGATTTGAGGGCGATCTTGGAACGGAATTGGAGGATTTATTTTTCCTTGGAAGCTCGAGGTACAAGCCCAAACATGAAGATTGAAGATCTAGAAAGTTATACTATATTCTCTCTCTTCTCTATGGAGTAACTTCTCTTCAATTAGATTTTGAAGAATCCTAGTTCCATGTGTTATGATATTTCTTGTATGAACCTTTGGATATTATATCGATTGGTTTTGTTCGATTGAGGCATGATTATTTTAGTCAATTGAGTCTTGATGACATTATCTAGATTTCTGCTTTAACCTTGGAGAGATAGAATTTGATTGGGTTAAGAGAGCTTCTTCAATTGAAATAGTCAATCCTCTATTTCACAAAAAAATGGTAAGGGATGCTTCCTACCCAAAAGGAACTTTTTATTCATAGAAAAGAAGGAAACAAAGGACAAAAAGTCGCATAGCTTGGTCCCAACAATCAATCTTTACTTTAGGAAGAAAGCATCGACATTGATTGTGAAAGGGTCAATCGATTCATTACTCTGGACTGGGATTCTTACAAGTAGAGGAGTTATTTGTTTATTTCCTTGTAATTTTATTCTGGTGGAGGTTAGTTGCCCGCTGAGTACTTTGTCTAAGAGGCTTGGTCTTCTTTAGTTGACATTCCAAGCTATTATCGGATCTTCCGCAGTTTGATCATTAGTGAAACAACTAAAAAGAATTACAACTTGGATCTAATTGAGGAGCTAAGGAAATCATACTTAAGTGAGTTCCCAACCTGTAATCAGTAGTCTAACCTAGTTTAGCTTGTAGAGTAGTTTAGGTAATCAAACCTCAATCTGATTGGCTAGATAATGAATTAAAGTTGTGTAATAGTACTCTAGAGATCCGTGGATTCGATATTTATTACTTGTGCTTCCATATTGCAGACCCTTTCATAGGTTACACTTGGCCATTGTTAGAATTCGTTTTTTAGCAAGTCATTAGGAATTACTGTTAGCGATATACTATAGTCGACAAAATTATTTTTTTCATTAAGAAAGAGTGTTTTTAGGATTCTTCTTACGGAGGCCCCACGATGGGCCCCAATTATTCCGAGCAAGTTTCTTTAAGTTAACCTTGATGAAAGAATTTTATCAATTAAATTGGATTCAATATCAAAACTTAGAAGAATCTGAGGGAAATGAGATAAGTCACTTTTGGTCCTATGAAACAATGCAAAAGCGTGGGTTGGTTGCCTCCGTTTTCCCTTTAATGATCAAATCAGTGAGGGAAAACGGGGATGCAAGAAAGAGAGAAAATGTATTGATTGTAATAAGAGAAAATTGTCACCCCAAAATGAGGACTAAAGATCCAATATTTATAGAAAATGTGACTCGCACGAAACTACACCACAATTAAACCCCAATTAGAGCCCAATTTTTTAAATTCTAATCGGGTGCAGTATAGGACAAGTATTTATATATCGACCCGGGTCGGTCCGTCTATCCCTACTTCGGTTGTAGAAATCATTATCTAGCGACAAAACTTTGGTTTAAAGGTTTGCCAATTGAAATGAAAGAAAGCAAAGGTAATTTGGTTTGAAAACTCTTTTGTGGGAAAGTCACTTGGGTTTCGCTTCCCCCTAACTGCTACCATGCTACGTGGGTTGGAACGATTTCCTTGGGCACGTTAATCATGAACCAAAGAGGAAAGCATTTGTGTGGGAGACCACATTCTCGATTGCTAAGCCGAGGTGAGGATGAAAGGTCGTGTCACTTGACCCTCTCGGTTTACACAATCGGTAATCGGCTTACTTCCTCACTCAACTCTATGGTCGGACGGTTTAACCATGATTAATCGACTTGTTCAATTTGATATTGAGGATTTCCCTAACTCCACCTAGTTTAGGTGGCTTAGAAAGCGGAAGGAAAACCAACTCGATTGAGTTTCCCTTAAAAAGGGGGATTTCCACTCTAAACTAGGCTAAGTTGGCAAATTAGATTCCTAGCACCTAAATAAACGAACTTAGGGGTGCTAAGCACAATTATGCACAATCCCTATGATGCTAAGCACAAAATATGCACAACCCCTAAGTTTCTAAGCACAAGCATGCACAATCATGGTGAATAATGCCTCAAACATTAAATTGAACGATACCCAATATCAATCATCCAAACCACATACAAGAAAACTACATGGTAGAGTTAGGCTTTCACTATACCCAAGTGAAAGGAGGACTACTCCATGGAAGAAGTGAGAAGAACCAAAAGGTAAGGTGGAAACCATCTTTTGGGGATGCCTCCTCTCTTCTTGACCCTTGAGCTGGGATTTCCTTGGGAAAATCTTCCCAAAATCTCCTTTGAAGCCAAGCCCTAACCTCTTCTTCTCTTTTGGTTCTGTTTCTCTCACTAGAATGCTGAAGAAGGTGTTTCTCTCACAAAAGTGGCTCTCTCCCTTCTCCTCCTTAAAGCTCAGCTTTTAAACCCGAGAAGAGCTGAGTTCACGGCCGTGAACCATTAAATGCGTCCGTGAACTCACGTCGTGCGCCAAAACGCTCCACATCACTCACGGCAGTTCACGGGGAACTGCTTGTGTTCACGATCTTAGTGACCGTGAACTCACCTTGCGTCAGTATCCTTCAAATAGGCTCTGGACGCCTTGCGATTCACGATCAAGCCTCCTTCTTCACGGTCTTGCACGACCGTGAACTCCTGCCTTTAGCCGTGAACTTGCGCTTTTTCACCTCTTCTCCCGGTTTTCGATCCTTTACGCCAATCTTTCGACTCCGAGGCTGGTTCCACCTGTTAAATCCTGAAAAGCACTCAAACACGAAGAACCTCGCGTAAAACCAACCATTAATGAGCGAATTTGGCACAAATATCTATGTCAAACGGGGGCAAAACATGTGTAAATAGGCCCGAATCACTCCCCCTGACTTAGACATTTGCTTGTCCCCAAGCAAACCATTTCACGCACACATGTAATATTTCAACCTTCACAAATGCATTGGGGACAACTCAAAGGAAAGGAAGCGGGAATTCTCGATGTTTATTGACAATCAACACATGAACTGTTGCAAGCAATACCGACATCCACAACAAACGACATTCAAAGCCACCAAAACGGGCAAACGAAAATTTCTCAAGTTATCCATGGATAAATGCAAG